CTTTGTATTATTGCTGTATGAAGCGAAAAATATGACAAAAACTTGATTTTTTATGGTTCAGTAACTATTGTTAGTACTGTTATTAAAAAAAATTCATTTTGTACTGCTTTCGCTTCATTTCGTGATTTGGTTTCTTTAAGTTTTTGCAGAGGTAAATAACCAATGCATTTATTCTCTCAACCCAAGATTGAAGCACTTTTCTGACTGGCTGCTCGACATAATTGCCACTGGGGATTTGGATGCATTTTTCCCAGCAGCAACACGCGAATATGCCCCGCTTGTTGAGGAAGTATGGAAAGATCCTGCTATTCAGGAGACTTATAAGAGAAAGAATGAACTCCACTTTCTTCCAGACGTAACCGAGTACTTCTTGAGCAGGGTATATTCTTCATCACTTTAAAGCTGAGTGTTTTACTGTAATTGAGAGAGAGAGAGGGCTTGTGTGATATTGCTTCTGCGTTATCTTCGAATAATATATTATCTGGTCTTCTTGAAAGCTTAATCAAATTCGATTCAGTTACCAAATCCTTTTTTTTTTGGGGTCTCACAGGCAGTTGAAATATCGAGCAACGAGTATGAACCTTCAGACAAAGATATATTGTTCGCTGAAGGGGTGACTCAAGGTAATGGGCTGGCTTTTATGGAGTTCTCATTGGACGATCGAAGCCCAATGTCAAAAACTTACACAGAAAATATGGAATCTGGGCCCCCACCTCTCACCAAGTAAGTTTTCCTTGTCAGGAAGAAATATTGTCGGTTCGAAAGGAAAAATTTCAACTCTTGAAATTGGATATGGATATTATGGTTTGGTTTAGTTTGTTACAAAATAAAAATAAAAAAAAAAAAAAAATTGTTCATTTCACAAATCAGGTACCAGCTGATCCGAGTCAACGCCAAGGGCATGAACGAGGGTTGCAAGTGGGTCGAGATGTTCGAGGATGTTCGTGTGGTTGTCTTCTGCGTGGCCCTCAGCGATTACGATCAGGTGTGGGTGTCCTCAGACGCTTCCCGTGAGCCCCACCTCACGAACCGTATGATCCAAAGCAGGGACCTTTTCGAGTCCATGGTCAAGCACCCGTGCTTTAAGGACACCCCGTTTGTCCTCGTCCTCAACAAGTATGATTTGTTCGAGGAAAAAGTCAACCGGGCCCCGCTCAGGAAATGTCATTGGTTCAGCGACTTCAGCCCAGTCAGGCCCCACCACAACACACAGTCCCTGGCCCAACAGGCCTACTTTTACGTGGCCATGCAGTTTAAGGACCTTTACGCTTCCTTAACGGGCCGGAAGCTTTTCGTCTGGCAGACGCGGGCCCGAGAGAGGCCCACAGTGGACGAGGCCTTCAAATACATACGGGAGGTCGTGAGGTGGGATGACGAGAAGGAGGATATGTACTATGCAGCCGGAGGGGAGGACTCCTTTTACAGCACAACTGACGTGAGCACGTCCCCATTTGCCCGCCATGAGTGAGGAAAAAAAAAAGTCAGGAGAGTATAAGCGTAATTATCGGCCGCTTTCTGTTGTGCATAGGTGGACGGTAGTATGATCTTTTTTGTTTTATTATTTATCGGCCGAGGTTCAAAATTTCTTGGTATAGAATTTTAATATGGTCTATGTTGAGAGGTGAAAATTAAGAAATGTGACATGGTAGTGTGTATTGTTTGGCTCTTGGGTAGTGTTTAGATCCACCTGCAAATGTTAAGTGTAATCTTTTTTCTCTTTGTGTTTTGTGTAAGTTTTTGTGTTGGTTGAAAACTTTAGCTGCAAAACTCTCTCTCTTTTTTTTTTGGCTAATAAAAAAGGCTTATAGCTCTATTACACCATCATGTTCTTAGAAAACAGAGGAGAAAAAAAGATTGGAATACAATCTAACTATATTATCGTTTTTTCTTTATTTCACCGCCCACTTAGCAATGGCATGAGCAATCTCATTATGAATTAGATCGGTATGCTGACAGAGTCCACAGTCTAAAGAATCCGGTGTGTGTGTGTGTGTGTGTTTTTTTTTTTTAATGTAATAATTTGTATGCACTTTTGGGCAGAGTGTATATAATGTGACCAGAGTTTTGAATATGAAGTAGTTAAGAATGAAGTAGGATGTATTCGTTAGAGATTTCTAAAAACTTTTTAATATTTTAGAAATTTTGGTGTATTTAATTTTAACATTTTAAGAATTTTAAAATTCTCCAAGTATTCGTTTGAGATTTCAAAATGCCCTACAAATTATGAGGTATTTAATTTATTTGAGAATGAAATTTGTTAAGACTTTTTAAAATTTATTGGCATTAAAAAAAAAAAAAAACCATATACATAATCTTAGTCTAATTCTCACCTCTAAACTTAAGATTTCACATAATTTATCTTATATTTGAAAATTTTAAATCTTGACTTGAATTCGAAACCAATGCACTCCTCCTTAGAGTAGCTCCAACGCTGCTCTATCTCTCTCAATATACGCTCTTGTAGCGTTCAAATGTACTCCAATACTGCGCCAATTGCTTGCGTTATTTTAGAGAAAGCAACAGTGTTCGCCAGATGTGGCGCAACACTGTAGCTATATCTACATTTTTTTTTTTTGTATTATAATGTGATATTAATGATTATTTTGTATAATGTGTATTACTAAATGTATTTTTTATGTTAAATAATTTTGTGTAATGTATTTTTTATCTAAATAATTTTGTGTTTTTTGGTTATTTATGTATTACAACTTTATTTTATAATTTTTTAATATTAAAATGATACCATATGAATAAAATAACACAATAAATCATGTAGATTTAGTTAAAATCAAAAATTTATGTAAGATTTATATAAGATTAAATATACACATATATACTAATTTATTTCAAATAAAAAATAATATATTTAATGTAGAGTCAAATGTAGAGATAAGGGCTGGAAATGAATGTTTAACTCTACTCTATAATAGAGTAAAAATCCGCGTTAGAGTAGAGATAAAGGCTGAAGATAGCCTAGCCCTGTCACTTGATTTGGGTTGTTTGATGGTGGTTAAAAGGAGTGAACTTTGTGACAATTTTCCCCCTCTTTTTCCTCACACTTACATCCATTGAAATTCAAAAATTCTCTAAGAAATGAGATTGTATCAAATGAAATTTTAACTACAGTTTTACCTAAATATATATCCTCTATTGAATTGTTCAATTTCTTTTTCGCATGGATTTTCAATAGTTATGTAAACATTTTTTTTAATAGCACATTTAGTATTGTTAAATTTCTTTTTTGCATGGACTTCAATAGTTACACAATTTTTTTATTTTTTTGAATAGCATATTTTTTTTTAACTGAATTTTCGTAATTTAGAAGTAGTTAAGTTGATATATAACATTTCATGGTCTAGGTAAATATTTTTGTTCACATAGATCAGCCCAAAATGTCATAATAAAAATATTTTTATTTAAAACGTGTGACACGTTATAATCTATATATATATATATATAATTACTAGCTCTTTTACATTTAAGAAAACCTCATAAATTATAAATAAGTGGCACTTTTACATTTTCCTTCTAAAAACCGTTACTTTTCATTTATTTAACCTAATTAATACTTAATAGATAATCAATACACTAATCAATTTAAAATACAAAAATTATTTTGAACTTTTGATGACTAACAATTAACCATATAATGTGTTACCGTATAATGTGATTAGATATTATTATTGTGGTCACATGTAAATTATTTTTTTTTTTTGGAAAATAAAAAAAGTATATGAAAGTCATAAATAAATTATAAATAATTTTTTAAAAAATACATACCAAAATATAAGTTACATCCAATCTAACAAACGCAATTTAAAAAAAAAATAAATCAACTTCTTTAATTGTAATTTTGGCTGCAAAAACGTGAAATAAAAATAATTAATCATTATATGCATGCAAATAATTCACAGTATTTTATTTACATTTGTGCAAATGCACATGTAGAATACTAGTCTTTCTAATAAGTAGTATCCCGTCTCATAAATATAAATTCAATTATAAAAATAAAATTAAAATTCCCAACAATAATTTTGAACAATATTAATAAAAAAAAAAATTCAATTGAGACGAATTGTCTACAACTTTCCTCACCTGAACTACATATATACGCCATTGTTGTACTCTTCCAATGCAGTTCGCCTTTTTTCTTCGTATACCTAATTTCAGTAAATTCCTCTTCTGCTTCAAAAAAAAAAAAAAAAACTAAAAAAGTGAGATTCTCTTCAATTTCTCTTTCCATTTGATGTATATTTCGATCGCATTTACTGTGAATCTGTTATTGATCACTTTGCATTCTTCAATTTGAATACTCACAAATATTTTTAGAATCACCGATCAAATCCTGCAATTTGATCGTTTTTTTTGTTTTTTCGTTAGGGTTTTGAAATGAAATTTACCAGTACTTTTCTCTTTGTGTCTAATTGAGATGATCGTGTATTGGATTTTAGGGCTCTCTGTTAGCTGATTTATGTACTGTGGTTCATATCTCGTGATTGCTTGCAGTTGCAGGTGTGAATCGTGTGGTCTAACTTCGATACTTGACTGGCATATGGCCAAAATGTGTGGAAATGCTTGCTCTGTGACCATGTTTAGCTCCTATGTTGGTTGGTGGTACCTTGTATGTTAATGATTGTCGACACTGCACTTTTCCAGTCCATGTCTTTTCAGCATTGCTAGCATGTTTAAGGGAAATGATTTTTAGGTTTTCCCTTTTAGTGAATTCATGTGGTCTGTGTTTTTCGATGCCTTTTCCGTTTATATTTTTGTTGAGAGTCAGACTCTAGTAGTTTGAAAAAAAAAAAAGAAAATTCACCTAGTTTCAACATTTGGTTAGAACATGATGGATGATTTTTATGGTTAATATTTGAAAAGGGTTTTGATATGATGTGTATTTTTGCAGGTTCTTGTATTTTGTTGTGAGATGAGTTTAACATGGGCCTTATTGAAGTTTCAAGATCTAGGCTCTCTGTGTCATCCTGAACTTTGATCCTAATTTTTTTTTTCAAACCCGTCTCACTAGTAAAGAGATGCAGCATCTAACATCAGTTGTACATCTTCTGTAATTTTTGATTGATTCCTGGAAGAGTTCAGTTCATCCTACTGTTATGGTCTGCAAAGGTGACTAGTCTGACATGGCGAATTTTGTCAATAACAAAAATTTGTCGAAGGGTCTTTCGATTGCTTCTAGCCCCAAATCACATGCAGGTCAACCTGTAAGACCAATAATCTCAAAAAATTTGGAAATCGGAAGGGCAACTGGTGGTAAGGTGGCAGTATTTCTTATTAAAACTTTTGCATTAGAAGCTGTACGGAGGTTTTCCAGGGCCAAGTGTCCGTTTCTGTGGACTGGGCTTCAAGGTTTACAAGTTTTTTGCTACCCCCCATTGAAATGGTTACAGCGCTGGAATCCTTTTGGGTACTTGGTTAATGGAATGCAGGTAAAGATTCAGTCTGCTTTAAATTCTCGAAATTGGTATGCCATTGATTGTCATTGGTGCTCCTTTTCTATAAGTTCTAATCATACAAATAATTAATGGGGACATTGAGGCTCTCGTCTGTTTGGTTGTGCAAACACAGGATTTTTAATATAAAATTAAGTGTTCCTTTTTCTGCGCTCGAATCATCCATTGATTATTCCAGGATCGATCTGATTCATTTTGCTGGAAATCAATTATATTGTTCTAAGGTCAACAAAATGTCGCCGTTATTTGTAAACCTTTTTATCATGGAGAGCTTGCTTCTCTTGTTGAAACGGAAAACCTAACCAATTTCTGTATGCTACTCTATTGCAGTGAGCTCTATCTCAAGCTTGTTTAGATTGTTATTTTGGGTTGATAATGGTATTCAATGTTCTGAACTTCACATTTTGATATATTTTGTTGTAGATGTTATCAGGCCCGTTGCTGGTTCTTTCTATTGCGAATGCTATCTCTGAACATTCGGACTGCAGTAGTTTTCGCTCGGGTGATGCAGAAAATTCTCCTGGCACTGATGACTCTCAACCGAGTTCAGAATCTATTTCAGGCTGCTCATCTTTACAGTGTAATGAGGGCATGAGGTATATGCAATAAGTCATTTTTAATATTATAATCCATTGGCAACGGCATAATAGATTTCTTTGGTGTTATTTTTTTTTTTTTTTTTTTTTTTTTTTTTTTTGTACTTGGCAAGATAAACTGTACCTAAGAATATAAAAGATACTGCTAGCCTTTTGCATATCACTGAATGATTATTAGAAACAAGCGCACATGACCACTGCATAGCCTGAATATTAGACTTTTGGTTGTCTTTGGTTGAATAGTATGTAAACATGAGCATGGATTCTTATTTCAAGCAGTGTCCCTAGCTTTGGGCATTGGTTCTTTTCAAGAATACTGTGTGCTTGACACATTTATTCAAATTCTACGTTGGAAATGTTCTACTTTTAATCTCTATTTCTGCTTGTTTATTTCCTCATGAATATATGAGTGCTACTATCAGCATTTAATCTTCTCTTTGATGTATTTAGTAACGGATGCTTTTGTGAAGAGGGGCTAAAAACCCACTTTTTAGAGTTCAATACTTCTAATCTTTTTACTTATGATAGGGACTACAACTGTGTGAAGTTTTAATGGTTTTATTTGGGTCATTTAAGAAACAACTATTGTCAATACTTTTGGCACTCGCTTTGTAGGACTCAAGTAATCCGTGTGGAATAATGAAACTGTTGAAGCTATATTATTCTTTTGTAAGGTAACAGTGGAGTTCTTATGTCGTCTTCATCCATCTCCTTTCTTTTCCAATGAACAGTGTTGGTGATGAAGACCTGCACAACCCTTCTTCTACAGTCTGGATGGACCACCTTTGTGAAGAGCTGGAAAATCAGGGGATTACTTTGCCAGAAAGGTTACTTTTACGACACTGTTACTTATCTGTTTATCTTCACGCCATTTTCTTCTAATAATTTTCAAGTCATATTTTGTGTTCCCCACGTCTATGTTTCATCTGATTTTTGTGATGAATTTTTCATTATTTGATGTTAGAGAGTTCTGTAGCTTCTTAGTTTCACAGACAAAAATTTCCTTATTCTTATTAATCTAATTTTTTTTATATCTTGCTAATTTCTGTCTGTTTCTCTTTTCAATCATGTTTTTACAGATTTAACAAAGAAGAACTCCATAGATTTTATGCTGCTGCAAACGGCGATTTTCCTAGTTTGCTATCATCTGTAAAGAAAACAATACGTTGGAGAGAGACATACAGAATTCTCTCAGGAGAGGAACTTGAGATGTGGTCAAATATGATCTTCTGGCATGGATTTGACTCGAGGCGTAGGCCCTGTCTTATTATCAGATTTGGCCTGGCTTGTATCAGCCTGCCGGCTCATGATAGACCTCGATTTGCTCAGGCACTTGGTACATGCTTCTACTTATCAACAAGTTGTGGCGTATACTTATTCTTTTTATATTTGCCTGCTTAGAGTTCTTATCTTTAAGTAGTGAAATTTCAAGTACCGAGTTAGAGCAATCAAACGAAAGAAATAATTCTGATTCTTTTCTAGAAACGTGAAATTCATGCTACCATCTGATTCCAACATGCTGCTTTGGTAGCTAGTATGCTCAGTAATAACTAATTACTTAAAAATTGTGAAGTTGGTGGACAAGAATTTGCCCTAGCGTTTTGTTGATTTTTGGTGTTAATTCCTTGAATCTAGTAAATACCCTTTACCTTCTTTGCAGTCTGACTTTGTGCGGCTTTTCAACATGAAAATCTAATTTCATTCCATTCCATTCCATGTCTTTTTTGAATTGGTACCTTGAAAACTATTGCGGTTGTGCTCGAGATTCTTGTGGTAAACTAAAATTGCATTCTCATCTCATGGACATTTGTAAAATGCAGTATCTCAGGTGGAGCTTGGAGTTCTGCAGTTGCTGGATGGAGATAATCCGCAAATCACTGTCCTAGTTGACTGTCAAGGGCTGTCGTCACTGAGACTTCCTATGCAAACAGTGAGATACTGCTGCAATATTTTGCAATCTCACTTTCCAAATGTTTTGGGTTGTCTAATTGTCATACGGCTTCCTTCAGTTGTCCGTGTTATTGCCCAAACATTTATTCAGGTAAGCTTCTCACTCAAAACTCTCAAACAATTACTAATATCACACTTTAGGGGCAATCAAAAATTTACCCTTGAGGTTCTTATCCCTCATTCGAAAATAAAAGGTCGCTCTTATATTTGGAAGTGGGATTTTAATATATGAAAGAAGGCATATTTTTGTTTTTATTTATTTATTGTGAATGAAGCTATATATGAATTATGAAGGTTGGTTTTTGTAATTACTTGTTTTGAAATGTGTATTGGGGAAAACTTTTTGAGATTTTGAGTTACATTTTGAGACCTTTTGAGACTTTTTAAATTCTAGATTTAGGAGGAATCATATTAAATCTTTTCTACGAGGAATCCTATGAAATCTTAAGCCTGGATGTGAGATTTGGATTTGGAGTGAGATATTGTATATGGTTTTCTCATTCCTTTGAAATCCCAACAAATTAAAAAGTCATAACAAATCCTAGTTTCAAATAAGTTAAAATACTTGAGGATTTTCCAAGACTTTAAAATTTATAATGAATACTTTGTTACCTTTAAAAGACTAAGAAATGTGTATTTGGGATTTCAAGTGACGTTTGAGATTTGAGACTTTTTAAATTTTTTAGATTTTGTAGGAATTTTGTGAAATCTTAAGCCTGGAGGTGAGATTTTGAGTGAGATTTCGTATAAGATTTTTTCTTTAAAAATTCCAACAAATTTTTAAAAAGTCTTAAAAAATCCTAGTCTCAAATATGTTAACTACCTCAAGATTCTGTAAGTCTTAAAATGTCTAAATTAAAATATTTCAAGATTTTATGTCCATTGCATGCATATGGAGCTGGAAGAGTCATTGTTGACAATTCTCCTAGCATAGTGCTAATAATGGACTAGATCAAAATGGTTCAATTAACTCTAGTGCTTCTTCTATTAGTGAAGTTTCTATAAAAAAAATATATCAAACGACGCAACGCACTTTGGGTCGCTATGAAAACAGCCTCCTTGTAATTATACAAGGGTAAGGTCTGCGTATAACTGACCCCCAGACCCCAACCTGTTGGGAACATACTGGGTATGTTGATGTTGATGTAAAATATACCAAGATTTCTAAAGTATTCAAAAATCTTTCGAAATCCTAAATGAATGCACCCTCCCTAAATTAAAATACACTAGGATTTCTTCTGAAGTCTTAATAAGTCTTTAGAAATCTCATACGAATACACCGCCCTGAGTAAAAATATAAAAATCACAAGGAAAAAGAAAAGAAAAGGGCAGAGATCTTGTGGTTGAGTTGCAATTTTATATTTTGTGCTAAATCTACGATGCATTTATTTCCAAGGTTCTTAAACCTGCCACGAAACAAAAACTGAGAATCGAAGGGCAGTCGTACAAGAAAGTACTAGCCGAGTGTTTTCAGACAATCCCATCATATTTAGGTGGATCGTGCACTTGCACAAGATGTGTTAGGCTCGACTCGTCAAGCAGTTTGCAGCAAATTTCAAATCGGCAAGCCTACATCAGAGAGTCAATTTCAGATCTTGCAAATGCTGAGAATTTTCTATCCGATCAACCGACATATCAGTATGACATGACCATGGATAATTCCTGCAGCCGAACTTTACGCAGTGCTGTTATTGGCGTCCTCATTATCTGGGTTTTGTTCGCTTTTATTGAGGGTATAAGTAACCCGGAGACCCGTCCATTTTTACCCTGATGATGCATTAGAACTTAGAAGGGAAGTCTTTCATCTGTGTTTAAAAAAAATAAAAAATTGTAGTGTGGTTTAAAGTATTGTTAGTTCCAGGAACCTTGGGAGATTGTTTGTACTTTGTACAAATGTTTTTTTTTTTTTTTTT